AATAAAACTATTATTGTTTTCCCAAGCTGAGAATATTCAAAGGTTCCACAAAAATATCCAAACACATGAACTAAGGTAATATTTCATCAGGTTCAAATAAATATCCACACAACCCGGAAAAAAATCATAATATTTTGAATAAATATTAGTATGTCAAAAACAAGTATTACAACTAGGAAAGACAAGTATCCACAACACACAAACTAATATCTACTATTTGTACCCTAAACCCTAAACTTTAAAGTCTATCACCCTAATCACTAAACACTAAAAAAATAAAACAATTGCTGTTTTCCCAAGCTGAGAATATTCAAAGGTTCCACAAAAATATCCAAACACATGAACTAAGGGAATTTTTCCTCAGGTTCAAATAAATATCTGCACAGCCCGGATAAATATCCTCGGGTTCAAATAAACTCTATCACCCTAAACTCTAAACCCTAAACACTGAACCCTAAACCCTAAACAATCAACACTACTAAATAAACTCTAAAAACAATATAATTAGGAAAGAATAGATATTCATACTGACCAGACAAAATCCTAAACCCTAAAGAGAACCCAAACCCTTATGTTGAAACCTTAACCCTAACCTCTATACCGTAAACCGTAAACCATAAACCAAACCTAAACAATCAACCCTAAAAAATAAACCGCTCATCAATAAAAACTATTATTATTTAATGGGCCTTCGGCCTATGGGCCCTCGGCGGGCGGCCCTAACTAAGGTTGCAAGCCTTACGTGTTAGGACTTGATAGTGTGTAGGACTTGCTAGTGTGTTTAATTTGATGTAAGACACAATATTCTTTCACAAATTGAAAACCAGAACTCTAAACCCTAAAACTAATTCTCTAAATTGGTTTAATCAGTTTATGGTGGTTCGGTGATTTTGGGCCGCCGTTAAACATTAATACGACCCAAAATTTCAACAATGATGCAAAGCACTATCAACATAACAGAAATTAATATCCACCGAGAACAAATAAATATCCACACAGAATAACATACATAAATATAACATGGGCCCATCAAATTTGGTTCTCTTTCCACTCCTATCCATTCTCCCGCCCAAAACTCAAGCCGGGCCCACCAGCTTGCCAGCCACTTTCAGCCATTCTCAGCCGCCGCCACTTGCTGGGCTGGCTTCTACCTATTGGCCTACCTACAGCTCACTTAAGTGAGCCACGAAGAAGCCGCCTCTCCCCTCCATTGGATCAAACACCCACCGACGTGGCCCTTCATCCTACCCTGTTAGTATATGCTAACACTTTGCCCTGTTAGCAGAATAACTTCTGCGCTTTAGCATACCTATGAAAATTGAAAGGGGGAAAAAGAGTAGAGGCCTCCTTGTTGAGTGATAGAATAAACCAAAAAAAAATTGTACCAAGAAGACTCTAGCCCATTTTCGGTTTTGTTTTCATTGGGCTCGATTGCTTGCTAAGGGTGATATGATATGGGTAGTAGAGGTAGCTGCAGTGGCATGGGTGACGGGGATTCTGTATTGGGCCGAGGAGCTCGGGAAGGGCTCAGAGGCCCAATCCTAAGTATTGCCAACAGACCATGAGGAAGAAGAGGGCAGAACCCAGATAGTTAACAAACTGATTCCCATAAGAAAACCCAAAGCTCGCAACTGAAGAAAACAGAGCAACTTCAAACCCTTTGGCTGTCACTCCTCATAGTATTATCATTGTTATCATTCAAAATGGACATCGATCTTCTAGCTGCTAAACTCATAGACAGCAGCACGACTTGTAGCAGCAGCTACTGTTTGAACAACTAGGACAACAACCGTTCACCTTTGGACAGTTACTACAAGATAGACAAGATGATGCACTTTTCATTAGGCCACAACCGTTGCAGCTGCCACTCTTGCAAGTTGGTTTACCCCAACAACTACAACACTTGGAGTTGGAGTCGGATTGACGGTGGCCGCTGTTGTGACGCCGGCGGCAGGTGCAACAGGACAGGCATTTGGGGAGTTGAACGTGCCATTGGCATTCACCGAGGCAGCAAACCCATGGTAGACTGTTTCGAGGGAAGTTGCAAAACAATGCTACCACACATTAGCCGTATTTGTGTCGCATTTACATACATTTGGTGTCACAAGCACAAGCATTAAAAGGTTACATCCCAAGAGTTATTTCCTCCTCTATCCGTCTAGGCTAATTGGGAATCATGTCCTAAAAGGCTAAAAGCAAGATGATAACTTCATAAGCTCAATCAGTAAAAGAGGGGAATTTAGTTTACCATAGTTGCTTCCAGGAGAGGCAGGGCTTATGCAACTGATGAGGCTCCTCTTTTCTGCTTCAGTCAAGAAAGAAAGAACATAGAAAAGGGATTAAACCTAACCAACATTATCTGGTGCACATGAAGAACTATTTGAATGAAGCAATTCAGTTGAAATGTTGAAAGAAAAAAGGCTTACATTGAGATAAAAGGATCCTGTCTACCATCAACATATTCATGAACCCTGTCAATCCTCAAATGCAAACTAGTGTTAAAATAGGAAATAGTGTAGCATTTGCATTTTGAAGTGAGGAAAAACAGAGAAATGGAAGAAGAAAGATGAAGGCCTATCTGTCCTTACTCTCTGCAGCACTTTGAAGCTGGTTGAAGGATTTCCACAGCTTTCAACTCTTCCTGTTTCATAAAGTGGGGGAAAATCATTTTCACTTTACCACCTTTAACTTGCAATGATGTTTAAGTCATGGTACAACAGAGAACATGGTACAACAGAGACTTGTACAAACTCCAAGCTTAGGGTTGTCCTAAAAGGGGATAACTAGCTCTTCTTGACATAAACAAGGGGAGAAAAGTTATCTTCTCTCTTTTGGGTTCCACTACCAAATTCAGCTATAAGATGAAGAAAAGGCATGGACTTTGGTACATCACCACACAACCATGTCCCCCAAAAGGAATGCCTCTCAAGTCTCAAATCAGCATGCCATCACAAAGTGAAAACAACATACTATGGAGGCAAAAAGAAGAGGCAAGCTTCAAATTGAATGAAAATATATGAATTACAAAAGCTAGAAGTAGAAGAAGGGAGGATGATTACTTACTTGAAGGAGGGCAATCTCTCTTTCCAAGACTTGAACCTTAACAAGCTGCCTTCTCTTGCCATACAAATCCAGTGAACCAGAAGGAGGGGACTTTGGGCTCACTGGCCCAACTACAACAACCCCAACTGACGAAGAAGACCCACTTGATGAAGCTCCTGATGATGATGAACATGATTTCAAACTCCTCCCATTTTCCATTCCCCCTTCAGAAAAATCAAAATCCCCCAGAATCCCAGAAGAGAAAAGGGAAGAATGAACGGAACCCAGAAGCCAAAATTTGTACTTTTGCAGCTAATTTAAGCCATATTACTAAGTTCCCAACTGCCAACCACTACATTTGCCTCTGAAACAAAAATGGGGCGAGTGAGTTATGAATGCAGCATAGTTAATTATCAATGGGGGGTTTTAAAAGTAAAGCTGATGGCCATAAGTCCGTGGATTCAGACTGAGAGAGGAGAGTAGAAAGAGAGAGAGAGAGAGAGAGAGAGAGAGAGAGAGAGGGAGAGGAAGACAAAATTTTGAAGTTTGCAGCAGCAGAACTGGGCATGGCTGCAGAACACACGTGACTGCAAAATGAAAGTCGTAAATAGGGAAAATGGTCCTGCAGCCGTTGTTATTTCTCACTTCCCTTTGCTTTCCACTGTGTATTCTCCATGTTACACCTTGCAGCCAACTTGCTTACTTCACCGTAAAACAAGTTCTAAACTCCTAACGCTTTAACATCCAAACAGAATACTTAATTACCAACACACACCCTATCAGACGAAGTAACTTATAGGCCTGAAACTCGAGAAGTCTCATCTTACATGATGCTTAAATAATCTCTTAATGTTGAAGTACATATATTAGAGAGCGAGAGACCTATATCATAAAACATGACACACATTATTACGTCGAAAACCAGATCATCCAATCAGAGTACCAACCTTTGCCACTCCAAGCTACAAAACATTACGATTAACTAAGGTTGGGTTCCTGCATTGAATCGTTACAATGACGAACAATTCAGAAAAAAAGATGTTTTTTTGAGGGTGCAGATATGAGAACGAGGGGAAAGGCAAAACAGAGAATCTTTCCTTCCCCTGCAACACGAAAGAAACTGCATAATTAAATTAATTGGTGGAAACTCGCAAAAGTGAGTAAACTAATGATTAAAAAGAACAGCAGGGTAGCATAGTATCAGTATCAGGCTATCAGCCATGAAGTTCTGACAGTGACACAGACGTTTCAAAGATATTGAGTGAGTGCTGTTTGTATTGTACTATGAACCAATTTAAAATAAGCCATTGGAGAATCTGACCTATGCATGCATGACATGTCATAGCTAGGAAACAAATACAGTATAAGCTCCAGACGACAGACAACAACAAACGTGCGCCTGTTGTTGTTGTGCATTCCCAATGGACACAGAAACTATTGCCATCCACAGAGAGAGAGAGAGAGAGAGAGCTTGTGAATCTCAAGCTGCCTGTCGTATTCCATGGCCACTCACAGCTATATCCCATATTCCCACCATCCTCGCTAAATAGGGATTTGGTTAGGATGAACAAGGTAACGACTCATCGATGCAGTTCAATGAACTTTACAAGTATTTTTTGTATTGATGAAGCAATGAAGAAGAATTATGCACATCAATACAATTTATTTGTTCAATTGTAACACTGCTACAAATGCACCAAACCAACCTATAAAAGACTAGAGAAATTAAAAAGCGAAAGATCTCAAGAAAAGACTGTTTTATTCAAAATACCCTGAAAGAATCCATCTATATACAACATGATCATATGATATCTCCCCATATATCAGCATGTGCAGAATGACTTCACATAACAAGCAAGAGAACTCTCAAGACTCTGCTCTTAAGAACAAGCCACTATACAAAATGAGTTCACATAACAAACTACAACAGTACATGAGAAGAAGAGCTTAGCTCAAAATCAAGTCACTACGAAGCTTGTGACACCAGTCAGCCTCACAGTAAGAAAGACCAGATACATCACTATAAGCCCAAAGCCCAACGTCGTATTAGGACGCATATCATTTCTAGGCAGCACAACGAGAGCCCAGAGCAACCCAGATACGAGAAATCCAATGGTCAAGAACAACGTGCCATCATGAGGGATCTCATACGTACTGTTGCTCCTCGACCAGGCGCCCAATACCATTGAGGCACCCAATCCAATGAGTGTGTTGAACATTGGACCAGCATAGCAACCAGACATGGCAATCTGCAGACTGTCCCCACCGTTCATTGCCAGTGCAACGTTGGAGACCAGATCGCCCATGGAGTTGCCCCATGCCAGTACAGTTAGCCCCAAGATTGATGGATTGATTCTTAATATAGTGCCAAATGCAACTAATAGAGAGACGAGCTCGTTTGCTATCATGTAGAACCAGACGATGCTCATCACGAACCCTCCTAGAACCCATGCTAATATAAAGGTCCGAGGAGGTCGATCAGGCAGGGTCTGCTGATAAGCTAAAATCCCAAAAGTGCAGCCGAGTGATATTCCGATTATATAACCGACGATTTTACTCGAAGGAGAGATATCCACTTGCGTACTCCATAGATATGCCATAAGAAGGGGAGCTAATGCTGCACTGCTGACTGCATATGGCTTTGACCATGTTTCATCGTCCACGAGTGGGATTGTCAGCCTCCTTGGTATTGTTAATGGCATCTCCATGATTGAAAACAATCGCGAATACGACAGTGAACACTTTCTCATCTCTGATCTCCCCTCACCATCATCATTCCATCCCCACGGCGACCTTTCCTCGTCCATAGAGTTATACTTCGAGGAGTGGTTCGAGAATATCGCCACGTTTGAAGCCCACATCCACGAGGGCAAAGAGGGTGGTAGATCATGTATGGCGTTGCTCTCGGTATCCACCTCGAGCAGAGAGCTGTAAACCGACCCTACATCTTCTTCCTCTCCTCCTAAAGAAAACACACTTCCCCTGACAGGAATCAATGGTGTCACGGAATCCAACTTCAACCTCTGAGCATGTTTCCTCAAGAGCTCATTAGCAGCTACAAAGAATGCATACACCACATAGATAAAAACAAATGCAATTGCAGCTGTAACAGTCACTCTACCAACCATTAAAATCGTCAGCAACGAGAAGAGAGCAACAAGGAAGAAACATATGTCCCTGACAAAACATCTCCGATCAATCTGCACTTCCTTCCCCGCCACACACAACGAGACAGCACCAACTACAACAGAGGTCACAAACACAGCACCTCCCAACACGCTATTGAGCCCCACGCCACCCTGATTCTCTCCGAGGAACGCAGCGATGCTTGCAAACACATCGGGAGCTCCATTCCCAAGCGGTAGAAGGGCCACACCAGCAACAGTAGGGGGAAGCTTCAATAGACTCGAGAGCTTTTCCAACGAGCGGCAGAAGTAATCAGCAGCAGTGTTTCCCAGCAGGTAGAACAATGCAGCAAGCCAGATTCCCAGTACAAGAAACCCCAGCCATCTGAAGTTGCCACAATCACAGTACAAGAAATGAACGTAATCGAAGAAGCCATCAGAGAAGCATTGTGGATTGGCCTTCAAGAAGGCGCATTGGTTTGCGTACCCCTTGTGATCAATCACATCTCGACATTCATGTGGCAAGCTGTTTGTATCCTCCAAGCTGGTCTCCCATACATGAGTCCAGTTTCCTGAACTTGGGGAAGGCGAATTCGCATAGAGTTCGGTCATCTGCCTACGAACCAGTTCAACCCGACTAACCCCATTACTCGAAATAGCTCCAAGTTCCGAACTTCCACTATCAGGAATGTTCGCAATCAAACCTCCCCGGTTGGATAACAAGATAACCATTATCAGCGCGCATAATCCATTGAAAGCCCCTCTCAATTTGGGGACTTTGGCGCTATTCTTTGACCGACCGAGAACATTCATCTCGAATTCCCGCCTCTGATTCTAGTAAGAACAGCTAATTCCAATCGAATTCAACAACGAACAAATCCCTAGGGTCTCATTTGCTTAAATGAAACCCTAGATTTCGGCCTGGGACCGACGACGCCGCGGAAAAGGTGCGTGCTTCAAGGAAATTCGAGGACTTACCCGTTGAAGTTGATCGCCGATGAAGAGTTCGTAGCTGGGTTTTGGGATTTCCAGATGAGAAATGGAGAGCTGATGAAATCTTTTTTGGGCGATTATGGAATTTGCGGGGGTTTTCCCGGCAAAGTGGGTACGGGTTCAATTTCTGCGTTCGGGCCGGACTCTTCTCGCCAGTCGCCACATATTTAAATAATTTCTTTCACAAATGCAACAACATTTTTTTTTTTTTGAAATGCCCAAATGCAACAACATATTCTAATACCCAAGTTAGAAACTTTCAAGGGCAGTCAAACTAATTAATATCGTTATAACGGTTTAGTATGTGGTATAATACGATAAAATGTAATTAATTTGTATGCCAGTTTTTGTACCAAAACATACGAGGAAGTTTCTAACAAGGCTTCCCGCTTCGGCCAAGGAGTTTTGTTGCTTAACCGAAGACATATTCAAAGAAATGAATCTTAACTCGGCGATTTTGGCCAAACGAATTCAGGACAGGACAATGATTGTCCAACATGCACACAGGAATGAGTAGAAGAGTAATACAACCAAACCCACCTCAACCTATCGCCGTTAAAATAAAATCAACGGTTTTATTAATGATTATGTGTTCTATGTTGAAAATGAACCGATGATGAGATAATGTGAATGTAGATTTGTATGCTTCAGATTGTGAACACACCCATCATGTCATCAGTCTTATCTATTTTCATGTGCTTCCATCCTTCTTTTGTATTTTGGCCTGCCTGGTGTCTCGCAATTTAAAGGTTAGACGCTAGGGCACTCCACTGCGCTAATAACAAATGAAGGGGAAATGGCTTATAGTCGCAAAAAGCCAAATCACCTTCCTTGTTTCTACCAAAGCTCAATAATGTAATCCGAAAACTTCTCCCAGAACTGCACGTCTCTATCGCTTTCTCTCCTTTCTACTCCATTTATACTTTCAGCTCAATCTCTTCCCTTCCCTCCGCCTTCTAACCACTGCCACTCTGCCAGAGATCACTGACTGGCTGCTCAGAACTTCTCGATTGAAGGTGAGAAAAGAAAATCCCTTGAATTGATCACTGATCTTTTGTGTTGATCCTTTTCGAGTTGGGTCTGGGCGAAAGTTTGGGTCTTTGAGTTTCGTTTTCTATTTATCGAGCCAATTCATGAACTGGGTTCCGTTTGTTTGTAGACACTGGAAATGGGGTTCGAGAAGAAAGAGTATGAATTTCTGGAGGAGATCGGGTTGAGCTCGAAGAATGTTGGCTGCTACGTTAATGGAAAGTGGAAGGCCAATGGACCTGTGATCACCACTACGAACCCTGCAAACAACCAGGTAAATGGAAGAAGGGAAAAAAAAAGCGTTTTTGAGATTTTCTGGTTGTGAACTTTGTGGATCAATCATGAATTATTTTGGCCTCGTTCTGCATTTGAGTTCCATTTCCCATTTCTGTTGGAATTGTGCGTGGTTGAATCGAACATGACGTTTTTAGTTGGATTAATATATGATTGTTTGAATTTGGAATCAGCCTATTGCTGAAGTAGTGGAGGCTTCGTTGCAAGACTATGAGGAAGCGTTGCGAGCTTGCAGTGAAGCAACTAAGACATGGATGCAGGTATATAGTAGCTTGGTGATCACTGAGAGATACCGCCTGTTCTGTTGGGGTATGATCAAGGCATCTCAGTTACATATTGATTGGTTTTCAGGTTCCTGCGCCCAAGAGAGGTGAGATTGTTAGACAGATTGGGGATGCACTGAGAGCCAAGCTTCAGCAGCTCGGTCGTCTTGTTTCTCTTGAGATGGGAAAGATACTACCAGAAGGAATTGGAGAAGTTCAAGTATGCGCCTTTAATATGTTTGTAGGGTTATAATCATTGTGGCATTGTGATCTATTGTGGTTCAGGAGAGAAAAGGCTGTATGTTATTGGAAGTTTAACTTCATGGCATTTACGTCTACAGGAAATTGTCGACATGTGTGATTTTGCTGTGGGGCTAAGCAGGCAACTGAATGGATCAGTAATCCCTTCAGAGCGTGAGTCCTATCATTTAGTACTTATTTATTTCTTTTTTTTTGTGTGAGTCCTATCAAAGGTATACCTCAAATGTGTCAAGGTGATGATATGCCTTCAGGAATGACCTTTTTTATTTCTTTTTACCAGGTCCTAACCACGTCATGTTGGAGGTATGTGCCTTACCACATGTTTCAAACTGTATTAAAATGTTGATGAGACTCTTTTTTACTAAAATGAATCACTCGAATTCCCCTGGATAGATGTGGAACCCACTTGGAATAGTTGGTGTCATCACTGCTTTCAACTTTCCGTCTGCTGTTCTTGGTAAGCATTGTGATTTTGTTGCTTAAAGTTCGCTTTGCTTTGCTTTCCAGGGCATTGTTTTAGTGTAGATTTCAACTTTCCGCCCATAATCCCTGAACAATAATCTACATTATGTCATTTTTTTAGGATGGAATGCTTGCCTTGCTCTAGTCTGTGGTAACTGTGTTGTATGGTAAGCCATGATATTATTTCCCATAGTTGCAATCTTAGCAACATCAATGTGTTTTCTAGTCAAGATCGTTGTCACCTCTAATCCATTAAATTATTTTGCCTCTATTTCCTTGACAGGAAAGGTGCGCCAACTACACCTTTGGTCACCATTGCACTGACGAAGCTTATAGCCGAGGTGTTAGAGAAGAACGAGTTACCTGGTGCAATATTTACGTCCTTGTGTGGTGGTGCTGAAATCGGACAAGCAATAGCAAAAGACACTCGCATTCCTTTGGTATCTTTCACCGGGAGTTCAAAGGTACATCTCAATTCTTGTTTATTTATGCTTCATAATTAATAATATGTTAATTATCTGTTAATTTGTCTTGTTGTTCCATAGGTTGGCCAAATAGTGCAACAGACGGTGAGTCAGAGGTTTGGCAAATGCTTGCTCGAATTGAGTGGTAACAATGCCATTATCATCATGGATGATGCAGACATCCAGCTGGCAGTCCGTTCTGTGCTCTTTGCCGCAGTTGGAACAGCTGGTCAGCGGTGCACAACATGCCGTCGACTGGTAACATTTAAGTTACTTAGTTTGTTGTTTTCATCAATAACATGGGAAATTTCTTACTGAACTGTTTGCTTGTTCATAATGTTGAAGCTTCTTCATGAGAGCATCTACAAGAAAGTACTTGATCAGCTAGTTGAATCGTACAAGCAAGTTAAGATCGGTGATCCGTTGCAGAAAGGTATCTTGCTTGGACCACTGCATACTCCCGAATCACAGAAGAACTTCGAGAGGGGAATGGAGCTCATCAAGTCTCAGGTTCGTTTGGTTTTCTCCGTTTCCACATGTTAAGACGTTGAATTGGAACTAGACAACTCTTTGTTAGGAGAAATGAATTTACTTTTCAGTTTTCAGGTTAATCATATTTTTGTTCATATACCATATTGTTTCCATTCAAATATGTAACTGTTGGGGTTGATTCATGCTTCATAAGCATGTCCTAGATCCCATGCTGGAATTATATCCTTATAATATGCCGATTATATGTCATTAGTTCTTTCCTTAATATTTATATGATTCATTGCTGTGAAACAGGAATAATGGCGTGTTTGTGAAACACTTTATAAGTTTACTGTTGGTTTACAGGGAGGGAATATTCTAACAGGAGGATCAATCATAAAATCCGATGGGAATTTCGTGCAACCCACGATCGTCGAGGTTGCTCCAACAGTACTTGCAGTTAAAGAAGAGTTATTTGCCCCAGTTCTCTATGTCATGAAATTTAAGGTAGGCTAATTTAATCTCCTTTCCAACACTTTCATATTCTGATATCATGTACTGGTGTATAGGGATATTCTAAACTTTGAACACTTATTTGCAGACTTTGGAAGAGGCTATTGAAATAAATAACTCGGTGTCTCAAGGATTGAGTAGTTCCATCTTTACCCAGAAACCACAAACAATCTTCAAATGGCTTGGGTGAGTCATGAGATCGTGGAATCGATGGTGTTGTGATATCCGTTCCGTTGCTTAGTTATAAAAGATACTGATTTTGTTCTGGCTTTGGCAGCCCACTGGGGAGCGACTGCGGCATTGTGAATGTGAACATACCCACAAATGGTGCAGAAATTGGCGGCGCATTTGGTGGCGAAAAAGCCACTGGAGGCGGGCGTGAAGCTGGAAGCGATTCGTGGAAGCAGTACATGCGGCGATCAACTTGGTAACTTTGCTTTCTTGCCTTCCTGTAGCTCCTATTAAGATCAGTCATCATTGGCTCCTTAGGATAGTCTTCTTCCTGCCGTTTTCCTCATGTGTTGTAATGGATTGAATGCCTAAATGATTACTGAGCTATGATGTTTGTGTAAAAAATGGTCATTAAACTAAAGTTCTAAGTAAATGATGATTATACTAATAATTACAAAATCAATAAGTTCTGGTAAAAGGCTTGTGACCGTTGTGACCATTTATGCATCAACCCCGTTCTAACTTGTAAGTAGGTGTGATGTCTGCCTGATACTTTTCCAATGGTTCCCTGCAGCACTATCAATTATGGAAGCGAATTGCCTCTGGCTCAAGGAATCAATTTCGGCTAATCGGCATATGATTCTGTTCTGCACCTGTTATGATGGCACCCCAGTCCAGCCTGGTTGATCTGAACCTGTCTAGAACAGATACTTGTGCTGCAGAACTTTGATCAGAGTGGATTTCCCCTGCAAACAAAACGGTATCATGTTGTGAGAATAAGAGATGTATATGCTCAATTATATAGATATTG